TGTCAATTGTTAACACTATTCACTATACGGCCTATAATTGCACTAGAATTTATGACATGTTTGCAAGTAATAACAATAATTTGTTAAAGTTAATTTAATCTTCTTCTAAATAATTAATTAAAAATCTTATAATATTATTTTATTATAGATTGATCTAATAGATATGCATACAAGATCTAATGCAGACTATAAGTGGATTACATATGCAAAAGATCACTTTATCTGATTTTCATGGGCTTGTCCACTTATTAATAAGGAAGCAAAATATGTAGCAGGCTTTCTATTAAGTATCTTTATGCAATTTGGTGCTCCAACAATTTTACAGTCTGATAATGGAAAAGAATTCGTAGCATCTATAATAAAAAAAATAATTACACTTTGGCCATCAACAAAAATAATTAATGGCAGACCACATCATCCCCAATTATAAGGATTAATTGAAAAAGGAAATGATGTACTAGAGGTCAAGCTGTCCTCGTGGCTTGAAGAGAATAGAAGAAGTGATTGGAGTACAGAATTGCCTTTTGTGATCTGTAAGAATATAAAACAATAAACGTTAATATTATTTAACATTATTTAATTTATATTTGATTTTATATTATAGGGGCAATCAATATACAAGTGTGTACTGCTACTAAACAAACACCTTACCAATTGATATTTGGACCAGCATCACGAAGTACATTAACTCTAGTTGACATGTTATTCAATCAAAGAATTTATGATGAAGAGGAATTGCCTAATAGCATGATTATAGATAATGATTCAGATCAATCTATTAATGACAATAAAGAAAAAACAATATATACTAATGAAAATATGACTATTGAAATAAAGCAATCTATAAAAGATAATAAAGAAAAAGACGTAAGTAGCAAGTAATGATTAAAATAATATATTTTGTATAATTATAATAAATACAATCGTAAATTTAGAGTGAAAAAGAAAATATGGATACTGGAGAAAATATTGTTAGTGTTGAAGTTGACGGTAAGAAAATTATATTATTTTTAATTTAAAAGTATCAATTATATTATACTTTATACTTATACATATTATGGATAGATAAGACAAAACAAAATCATACTGTTTTATGTGAGTTGGCAGTCCAACAAGTTCAGCGCAATATGGATTTGATGAAAATCTTGTGGATAATAAAAACAAGAAATGACGATTAGCATTTAACATTGGTGACTGTGTTCGAATTAATATTCCTAGAATAGTGTTATCGGTACCCGGCGAGTCTGTCACTTCTTCGGACTAGGTCGTCGCGTAACGATAGGTAAGTAGGGGTTTGTGTCGCTTGCACACCAAAGGCACTTGTTAATAAACTCCCTCCTCTTTTATTACCAGTCTGATCCTCTACCACAATCCTTTGTGGGCTTCTAGGATTCCTACAGCGGCTAATGACCAATTAAGGTAAGTTTATTAATTATATTGGTGTAATTACAAGTGATACCAGTTTGTACAATATGAATGTTTTCTCCCTTCTTTGATCTAACTAAATCCACCCATATTTATACCCGCTGCGACGCGTCTGCTAATCTACCGTCGCGTCCTGCAAATCCCCATTTAGACTATTTAAGCTTCCTGATACAGGGTCCGATGGATCGCGCCATACCACGTGACTAATGGCGATCCTAGCGACCCATACATTTTTCCCTGCTAACACTTCCCCCACGCTTATTTTTATGCGCCCCTGCGCATATAATTATACTAAACCTCTGGCTCATAATACTTTTTTAGGATCTTGGTGTTGATAGGGCTAGCCAATACTCGTCCGTCGGTGGTTCGCAGCGTGTATACATCGCGGGTAAGTATATCATGCACATAATACGGCCCACTCCATTTTTCAACAAATTTGCTGCTTCTTGAATGTTCCAACGCCGCACGGTACATCAGTACCTTATCTCCGATGTTGAATGGTTCTGCTAGGTCTTTATTATTGTCGTGACGTGCTTTTTGTTTTTCGTTTTCATTGCTGTTATTGGTTGTAACTTGGCATTCCGTCTCAGCTATTCCTCCGATATCGAATTCTTTATGGTAGGTGGCGTCATCTATTGTGTCCTTGAATGCTAACTTGTGCACATTGACAGTTGTGGTAGCTTGGTTGGCCTCCCCGAATTGTTGTGTCGTGTGACGGAATATGTCGGGATCCCGCAACACTTCTACCTGCTGATTCACACGTTCTTCATTTGCCTTGATTCGTTTAACACTAGCATCAGTGACACGCGTATCCACTATATTTTGCATTGCTGATTTGCTGCTGTCTTCTCCGATTTTCCGTTCAGAATCACGTGACAAGTCGTTGCTCCGGGGCTTTCTCACAGACTGGTTTGTTCGCCACACATTCACCTTTGTTTGCTTAATAAGAATTACATTAACCACGATACACGTTCCTCCAGCCACGGTGACTTTGTTGAGCTTAGCTTCGGTAATAGTCATATTCAGATTCCACGTCGTCCACGGTTCCACGGCCTTGCGCTGAGTTGTGATCGTTCGTTGTTGGCGCATCACAAGCAAGTGGCTACGTCTAACGACGGTATCATACCATGCAAGTGAGTGTTCTATATCAGTTATCGCCATTACTACTCCGTCGGTTGATTTCCTTGGGGTTGGTACGATCTCGTGCTCTTCCTGATTATTCGGGATATCACTACCGTGATTAAGGGTGCACTGCATCATTTTCTCGCGTTCAGGTTTCAGGATGGTACTCTCGGTCACGTTGATTAGGAATTCTTTTACTGGACCCGCTGTCCAAACCGTCTTAGAAATTATCATCATCGCACGACATGCTAATTTTGCGAAGACCTCGGAGTGCGCCTTCAGCAGCTTTCTTCTCAACTTGCAGCCGAGTGTGTTTATCATTTGCCTCCATGGTGTTGTGATGTTACGCAGCCTGAACGTCTCATCGCTCGGTGCGTGCGTTTCCCAGGTAATTACTAACATCACTTCTTCCTTCTCGACCCATCCTCTCATAGCCTGACCATTCTTGTGCAATTTCCGCTCTATCAAGGCGTCATCGTCGGTATCAACTATTCGTCGCATTACCTCCGATGTATTCGTAAAGATAGCACTTCGTGCAATGATGACAATTTACAGGACGGTTGGGACAAAGCACCCTGTAAAAGAACCCCTGATCGAGTATGAGAACGCGATCACGAGCACCGTCCAGAAAC